AAATTTGGATTAATTAACGAAAAAAGACGAGATACCGGCTAAATCTGTGAAACCGGCCACGAAGGGTTAATCTGAAGTTTTAGCCGGTAATCTGTCCTTTTTTGTAAACAAAATTTAATTTGGGACTAAATCGTAAACTAACCTAAAATATTGGGACTTTTTTTGCAGATTTTCCAAAAATAATTCACTGAGAAGTTTGATATTAAAATTTAATTTTTAGGCTTCGAATATCATATTCTCATTTTTCTCTCATTCTCGATTTACATTTTTTAGTAATGATTGTTTCACAGAAACAATTTGGATCAATTCGAATTGGTTTGTATTAAAACCAAATTATTATTTTAGATTTCAAATTGGTTTTGGTTTCTATTAAAACCATTTGTTTTTTTAATATATTTATCTATATTTTACAAATTTATTTGATAGTATCGCCAAAATTAAAAAATAAAAAATAAATTTTAAAAAATTAATACATATAGAAATTTGTTTCTAATTGCAGAAAGTTATAATTCACAAACAAATTTGTTTCTTATTTTATTTTCTAAAGGACTCTTGAAAACTCTAAATTGCAAAGATGGATTGTTTAGAATTATAATTCGGATGTTTCGACCCGATTTTAATTTAGTTTGAGCTATTTGACTATATTTCAATGACATTTATTTGGATCAGATGAAACCGCTTCATTCAAACATACACACCTCTAATAGAATCATATGAATACTTATCAAATTTAGATATCTACATTAAAATAAAGTTACAATGGAAAAAAAATGCCTAAACACATTTTGATTATCATAATGAAAGTTTTAAACAATGTTTATAAAAACCTTTAATAAAAATACACCTACATTTTTACACGTATACAAATTTTATTTATTTGTTTTTGTGTTATCAAGACAAATTTCGTGGGATTCGGTTGCAAATGAGCACAAAATTAAATTCCATTTTGTCGACGTCAATTTCTGATAATACGAGTTACATTCTACAAACCATACACGCAATCCAAAATAATTGCAACATGATTGACTTAGATGTAGTAATACAATATTACCACCATCCATTATTTTGCTACCTTATCATCAAACAACTAACATATTTCTTTCTCTATCCTCTCAACAACTCAAGTCAAGTGAAAAGTTCGAAATCAATCAAACAACCCTTTCGCTGTTCTTCCAAACATGTTCCCAACCTGCACAAAATGTACAAACAGAATTTACATTTTTAATCATATCATACATTGTAAAACAAAAAACATCTACATGAACCTTTTTTTTTTTTGTGAAGCATAAAAGAGAGAAAAAAAAAAAAACTTATATATTACCTGCTTCGATGAAATTCCAATTTTCTCCAAATCATTTAGCTGCACGCAAGTATAACTAACGTTCAATTCATATATAAAATTTGTATTGAATTGATGATTTAAGAAATTAAATGAAACCAAGTTATGGCATGACTTACGGATTTGAGTGGGCTCATATCTCTAAGCTCAAGTATGTATTCAGCCATCTTTTCTCCAATTCCCTGAAAAAATAAATTCACAGCTCAAGTAAGTATGTAATAATAACTTAACTTATTATAAAAAGATGTGAAAATTACCTTCAACTGTAGAAGCTCCCCCCTTGTTTGGAATCCAAAAATATAGTTGAGAGTTTAGCATTTAAATTCTCGCATAAATTAAAACAAACAAGAAATTGTCAAATTGACTTTAACTTACTTGTCGGCTGTGTTTAGGAAGTTGACGTATTCTTGGGCGAGAGTGATCTGTGATTGAAATTTGAAAACATTATGAGGATGACAAGATAAAAATAATAATAATAATAATAATAATAATAAATGTTTAATCGTTTTTACCTTCAAATTACAACTCATTGCTTTGAATTTATTAAGTGGAGTGTCTGTTTCATCCGCAACTGAGTCGTGTTTAGGAGTGATTGGATCAATAATGTTGGAGTTGATGGGAAATAGCACTTTCCTTGTTGGTGTCATTTTCAACCCTTTTTCAACTTGTTCCTCTGATACACACGACCTTGTAATTATGCATGTGTAACAAAAAAAAAAAAAAAAAAAAAAAAAAAAAGGTGAGTACCTATTGTGGCAATTGGCTTTGGTTTTCCAGAGCTCTGGAATGTAATGTGCTTCTTCGTAGAGCTTATAGAACGTGGAGTTGTAGTGAATGGAATATCATTTTTTGTCTTTCCTTTCGATTCGAGCCATACCCTAAGCTTTTCCTCCATGTCAACTTCAGTCCCTCGGGTATTATTATTATTATTATTATTATTATTATTATTATGCTTCTGAGCAGAGTGTAGAAAGTTAGAGACACGTCGGGACCTTGCTGCCAAACTAACTGTATGGACAGATTGTTCATACTCCCCTGGATTCTGGTAACATAATAACCAACAAATTAGTAATTGAAGTTAAATAAAACATGGAGTAAATTACACAAATGGTCCCTATGGTATGAGATAATTTGTATGTTTGGTCCTTAACTTAAAGATTTTTATAACTAAAGATTCTTAATATTTGTTTTTATTACACGTTTGGTTTCTGTATTACCAAAAAGGATTATTTTGCCTTTGATTTTTAATTTGTTTAAATAAACACATACCGATCCGAACCTCACCTTATCTTTTCTAAAAATGTTATTTTAATTTATTTAAATAAGAGTAAATTACACAAATGGTCCCCTGTGGTTTGAATAATTTATGCGTTTGATTTGTAAGTTATTTTTTTTAACTCGGAAGATCCTTACAGTTTGTTTTTTTACGCACTTGGTCCATGTCTTACCTAAAAAAAAAATTAAAAAATCAATGGCAAAATAATCTATTTAAGTAATACCCCACCAAGTGCGTAATAGAAATAAACAGTAAAGACCTTCTGAGTTAAAAAAAAAAGTTACGAACGAAACACGCAAACATTCGTATAATTTATTATTTAAATAAGGGCATAATAATCCTTTTAGATAAGACGGGAGGTCAAACAAGTAACAGAAATAAAAATTAGGGGCCTTCCAAGCTCAAAAAATAAGTTATGACCAAACACACAAATTAACCTAAACCATGGGGACCATTTGTGTAATTTACTCTAAAACAAAATGGCTAAAAAAAAGTTAATGAGCTTACGAGGCAAGCGACCATTAAAGCATGATTTGTCCCCCCTAAGGAATCTTGCAAAATCCGTGTGAGTTTGGATTCTCTATACGGAATCCGAGTATTCTTGTTGTTGAGTGCATAAATGACATTTGATAATGCAAATAGAGACTGATTGATTTTTTGACTCTCAATAAGTCGAACACCTTCATTGCCACTTCTCCTGTTATCTTCATTCCCTGATGGATAGAAAAGTAACTATATTATATCAACTATATCATTATCAACTAAAAAACACTTGTATATGGGTATGTTTTTTAGAGAAGAAATTTAACCTGCTAAATCAATCAGATTTAGTTTCCCAATCAAAGCACCATTTTCACAAGATCTTGAAACAGAAATGACGAGTACCCCATGGCTTCTACTTGAGACATCATTAAGACCTGTGTGTGCAACTTTTCGCCTCTGTATTCCACGAAGGAAAACGTCATGAAAATCAGACATTGAATATATTGGGATTTTGGATAGATTTCTGAGATGAGGATTCCCTTGTTTATCGTCTAAAATGGTAATTTCTTTTGGTTTTGGTGTGTCTTCTAAAAGATCATAACATCGATCCATGTAGATCTCGTAGTATGAAACTTCTACAGTATTCCCCATCTTTTCACATATCGAGAGGATGCTTGATGTAGCCATTCGCATCAAACCTGGCAACTCATCACTTCCCTGTATCAACTCAAAACATTTAGGGTTTCAACTCAAAACCAATTGAAAACATCAGGGGATCAAAAATTAATCAAGAAGAGAAGAACACAAACCTGCATTGTAAAAGTTTTTCCGCTACCGGTTGCTCCATAAGCGAAAACAGTGGCATTGGAGCCGTTTAGTACAGCAGGAATCAGAGGCATCACTTCTCTTTCAAAGATCCGTATCAGATTGTTATCTTCTTGACCATAAAAGGAATCTAGCTTGTAATTTTCATTCCGACTGCGAAGAAATAACAGCATTTCGTGTTTTACACTTTCCATCCAGCTAAACAAACTCGGAGAGAAAGAGGGGAGAAAATTAAAGAGATCGTATACATACCAAGAGTGTGGATCTTTGAGTCTCACAGTAACTTCTGAGGCAGATTGTAGTGGTGAATCAAGAACGGAGACACATGGTATTGATTTATCGATATCAGCATCAGTTGCCCTAGAAATCTCGGGAGGTAAGAATGGACGAACCCTTGCGATTACTCGCACCATTGAGGTCGAATCAAGTGGTGAATGCTTGTTTGGAGTGCGCTCTATATGCGATGTTGCAATGGAAGAATTTAGTTGAGGGGTTGACATTTGAAAATTAGCAAACACAGAGATGGAAAATGTTGTGATTTGGGGAAAAAATTGTAGCGAATGGATCGAGAGTGGTTAATTGTTGCAGGATTGAGCAATTGGGGAGGAATGGATCGATCGTTCGCTAAAGTTAGTGAAGAAAATGAAATTGGTGGTACTTTTGACCGTTGAGGAAGGGTTTGAAATTCGAATTGGGTGAACGTTGCAACTTGAAACTGTATGTGTGGAGTATCGTTATTCTAAATTCCCTCTGAAAATGAATGGAAGTCGCGTGTGAGAATGAAATTAGTTAATTTGCAATCCCCATCGTGCAGGTGATAAAATCACGATTAATCTATATTTTCAAAAATTAACTCGGATCGTCCCCTATTTGTCTATAACATGCACGCTTTGTCCCTTATACACATTTTTGTTGCAATATTAGTCATTTCCATATTTGAAATGACCATAATGCCCTTTATGTTTATATTTTCCAATTAATTTTATGTTATTATCATTATTATTAATTAAGAAAGAAAAAAAATATGTGGCCCCACTTCATACCCAATCACATCTCTCCACCCACCGTACCTTCCCTTTACTGTCTCTCTTCTCCAAACTCTTCAAAAACCTTAATGCCCTTTAAGCCACTGTTAGTGGATACCACCATCGTTTTACACTCCGACGACATTCTTGGAATGCACCGTCGTTTTACACACATCACACTCCAGCCACCACCTTTTCCGACATAAGTGGTTTTGAACCGTCTAAAATCGATGACTCCATCTGTGATCCAGTCTTCGATCTCCGATATCCGTCAGCTAGGGTTTCGTCACATGTACCATGCCATCGACGTCGGCTAGGGTTTCGATAGATGTCATCAAGCTCTATGCATTTCAACATATTTATAGAGATCGATCTCTGCCTCCATCGTGACTAAGATATAGAGACTAGCGAGCTCCACATTTGAAGTCGATGTCGATGTAAGCGTGGTGGTTGGATGATTTCAGGTGTAAGGTGGAGAAGGCGATGAACAGTGTAGGTTTCACCTGCACCTCCTCTTAATTGATCATAGGAGTATGGTTTTATGTCCCCCAACCTTCAACCCTATATCTCTCAATCATAGATTCCTCTTCAAATTTCTTCTTTTTTCTTTCTTTTGGGTTACAGGTCTGATCAGTTGAAGATTAGTAGATATGGTAGGGTAGGTGATGGTCCCGATGGTCGATTATGATGGATGTTGGTGGTTGTGAATGGCAATAATGAACGGGGAAGGGAGGTGTCGGAGTTTAAGGATGGGATAAGAGAGAGAGAGAGAGAGAGAGAGAGAGAGTGGAAGAGAGAGAGAAGCGGTGGTTACCGGTGGCGGTGGATGGTGGTCGGAGGTCAAGGGTGGCCTGAGGTGGATGGTAGCTGAAAGTGACTGCAGTTCGAGGTGGTTGATGGCTAAAAGGGTTTGAACTCCTTTTTAAGGGATGTTTCCTTTTCTAAAAATAATAATTATAAAAAAATAATAGATAAGTTATAAACAATAAAAAAATAAATGAAAAAGAAAAAGAAAAGGGCAAGATAGTCATTTTACGTCTGCAAGGGACGTAACGTGCACCTTTTAACGATACAAGGGACGGTCCGAGTTAATTTTTGAAAATAGGGACTAAACACGTTTTCTGGCATGTGCACGAGGGACCAACGGTGTAATTTACCCAAAATCTTTAGATAATTTTTTCATATATTATAAAAGCCCTTAAAGTTTGTAAGTTTTTTCTATTTTTGCCCATAGTTGTTTTTTTAAGTCCATTAATATCTTATATTTACTTTAGTTTTTTCATTTATATCATTTGGGTTATCCACAAAAAAAGTTTCAAATTTTTTTCATAAATTTTAATTAAATCCTAAAAGTTTTTTTTTAAACAGAAAAGTTTCAATATTTTGATGTTTTGCTTAAAGTAATGAAAAAGTCTTTTTTTTTTTTTTTCTTTGAATAGCAAATGATAGATTATATGATTTTTTCAAAATATTGGGACTTTTCTGTTTTAAAAAAAAAAAAAAAACTTTTAGGATTTTGTTGAAACTTTTTAATTGAACTACCTAGATTTGATCTCAACATCTGACCACCATAATCCCATAGTTTAGCATTGGCGTCACTTAATCTACACTTTGCTCTATAGCACTTTGACCATGACACATTGTAGTGGAATTTGCTTTGGATAATTACCTGCATTTCCTTACACTTCAACTTGGGCTTTCTAATCAGTTCTTTCAGTAACTAGTTTACTAACCATGTTGGACCATAAGGTTGGTATTTTTGTAATTCCTAACACACCTATGTTTGTTAACAAGTTTCTTATTTTGAAACGACCTCTCTGTGTTCATCCACTAAGCCCTAACATTAAATGGACGTTGAAATTTTTGTGGATCACTAGCACATACAACAATTAGCCTAACACTGTCACATTTCTTGAACTTTATCTTATAACCAACATAAATAGCATGGTTAGTTAAACATAACTTTAGTTGATGGGTTGATTCATACCTCTCTCCCAGAAGTGGTCTCATCTTGTTCCATTTAACCTTTGGATCGTGGGTGCTGTACTCAAACTCAAGCTTAGAATCTTGGTCACTTTCACTTGATACTTCTTCATCAGACCCATATACTTCATCAGACCCACTTCCTTCTCGCATTAAGTCAAAATGATCTTCATTCTCCACTATATCATCTTCATTTAAGTCAACATCATCGTCGATATGTTCAATTTAAGGGACTGCAAAGTCATCACCTTCTTCACCAACTATGTCGGGACACAAGTTGTTCAAGAACGCATCATTGCATCTCTTGGTTTGCTTCTTCAAATTCTTGTCTACTTCAACATCAATAGTATCAAAATCCCAAACGTCTTCCATTTGTAAAGCCTGGATGACTCGAACTCGTGCCCACAATTGTCATCTTCTTCACACGTAAAAAACCCTAATTTCTACAAAGAAGATATTACCATAACTATGTGTGATTTACCGTTGATGGAATGGGTGTGTGATTTGGTCGACTCACCTGCCACCTAATCTCATTTAATGCTACATCGGTTTGTTACCGGTTGCAAGAGTGGTAACCGGGTAAATTGGGTAAATTTGCCTGTTTATCCAGTAATTTATGCTTTTCCGTTAACATTTAATAGTTTAGATTTTTTCGTAAATGCGGGCAAAATAATAGGACAAAAATGTAGATTTCTATATATATATATATATATATATATATATATGTGTGTGTGTGTGTGTGTGTGTGTGTGTGTGTGTGTGTGTGTGTGTGTGTGTGTGCGCTTTTGCTTGCTTGCTTGCTTAGGTAGTTATGGGCATATGTTTTAATAAAACAGTTTTATAAATGCTTATAAATGCGCGCGCGCTTATGTGTGTGTGCGCGCGCGCGCTTAGGTAAATTGGGTAAATTTGCCTGTTTATCCAGTAATTTATGCTTTTCCGTTAACATTTAATAGTTTAGATTTTTTCGTAAATGCGGGCAAAATAATAGGACAAAAATGTAGATTTCTATATATATATATATATATATATATATATATATATATATATATATATATATATATATATATATATATATATATATATATATATATATATATATGCGCGCGCGCTCTTTTGCTTGCTTAGGTAGTTATGGGCATATGTTTTATAAAACAGTTTTATAAATGTAATTCAATGAATAAATAAGCCGACACTGCCAGGAAAGTTTAGTAAGACTTTCTTGTTTTGGAAGTGCTTTCTTGAGATACGTATCATATTTTCCGTCGTGTTATCATCATATAATAAATAAGATGTTACAATATAAAATAAACATTTTCTTGACATGTTACATCAGGGTGAATAGTGGGGTTCAACATTGGGCTACGCTCGGGACTGAATTCGGCTCTAAACACATTTATGGACCTCTAGTACTAATGGCTATAAATAATGGTGGAAAAGGACGAAAGAAAACCAGTACTGAAAAGCGAAATGGCACCATCCAACTCCACCATAATGTTTCTTTCATATTGTTTTCTCTTGGTTTTTATAGTTGCAGGAAAACGAAGTGCGATAGAGAGAAGCGAAGCCAAAGCAGATGCCATAGCCCACCACTATCAAACAGTCAAATTAAGCTCTTTCTTATCATCTTCTATTTGTAGACCATCCACTAAACGTTAGTTTTCATAAACCAACTTTTTTTGTTTTCTTTTCCATTTTATCTAAAAGTACGTGTACGTACATACTAACGTAATACTAACATAAATACATATATACAAACACATACGCATATAAATACATACATGCATGCATGATGCATACATACATATCTGAATTATAATCAATGATAACATTTGAATACATGAATTAGGTGACAAGAAATATGGATCATTAAAAGTGGTTCACAAACACGGACCATGTTCCAAGTTCAGTAAAAACATTATAAAACCCATAACCATGGAAGAAATATTGACCCACGACCAGTCCAGATTTGACGCAATCAAATCAAGGTTGACAACCACCACCACCACTCGAAAAAAAGATATCAAAACCTCCATGGCAACCATGCCTGCAACATCCGGCAACCTATTCAATTCCGGCAACTACATAGTAACAATTGGAATGGGCACCCCAAAGAAAGATCTTTCACTCATTATGGACACAGGAAGCGATTTAACATGGACACAATGCCAACCATGCTCAGGCTCCTGTTATAGCCAACAAGATCCCATGTTTTCACCCTCCTTATCAACTACCTATTCCAACATCTCTTGCACATCAACGGAGTGCTCATTACTTCCTTCAGCCACTGGAAACCTTCCCGGTTGTAGGTCGTTAACATGTGTCTATGGTATTCAATATGGAGATGGGTCCTACTCAGTTGGAGAGTTTGCAAAAGAGAAACTTACATTGAGTAAAAACGAGGAATTTGATAATTTCATGTTTGGATGTGGCCAAACCAATGAAGGAGACTATGGAACAGCTACAGGGCTGCTTGGACTCGGTAGTGGCAAACTTTCAATTGTGTCACAAACTGCTAATAAATACGGGAAAGTCTTCTCTTATTGTCTTCCATCAACAGATAGCGGTAGTGGTTACCTAACATTTGGAAAAAGTGGAATTTCTAGAAATGTTAAGTACACACCGTTGTTAACCTCTCTAGGGAGTAGTACTTTCTTTAATGTTAAGTTGGTTTCTATGACGATTGGTAATACAAGAATAGCAATGAGATCGAGTATGATCATGGACTCAGGAACTGTTATCACAAGGCTCCCTCCTAAGGCGTACTTGGCTCTTAGAAACACGTTTCGAGCAGAAATGACGCGATACCCATTGACTAAACCATTGTCGATACTTGATACGTGTTATGATTTAAGTAACCATACGGATGTTAGGATGCCAACGATAAGCATGGGTTTTGGTCAGAATGTAAACGTGGGTATTCAACCTCAAGGGGCGCTTATTGCAACTAGTCGTGAGAAAATGTGCTTGGCTTTTACTGGGAATGACGATGATTCTGAACCTAGTATATATGGGAATGTTCAACAAATGACAACGCAGATTGTGTATGATATGGCTGAAGGAAAACTAGGATTTTCTCCTCAAGGATGTGAGTGAACACAAGTTATGAAAAACATACAAGGATGCATTGTTATGAAGGCTTTACATATACTATTATATTAATATTGTTGGAATAAGGCCTCTGTCAATCTGTAACTTTATAAATGATAAAAGTACACAAGAATTATAAAGTACTAGTTAATCAGTAACATTGAAATTGTTAATTTTCATTATACGCTAATTGTATATGCCTCTTGATCAATCGGTTTGTTGTCATTTGGATTGCGGGATCGGTTTGTTGTAATTTAGATTGCGGATATGAAAAATACCCTTTGTTTAAGGAATTGTGTATACATGATAGATGTTATGATTGAAGTATATTAACAAGTGTTGAAATATCCAAGATTGGGGTGGGAAACTAAACATGGGCATTACCGCTTGAGGGAAATTTATTCAAATGGCTTCACCGAAGACACCGGAGGCTGTGTATGATGAGGCTCCAAAAAAGGTAGGATTTGGTCCTGGACACAAATCAAGAAAATAACTGACATATACATGGTTATAAAGCCTTTAAATATCAAAGTAGGAAAAAGATTGTTGACAAAAAGGTATATAAAGGTTTTTTTGTGACAAATTATCAACAATTTGTTTGAATATTTTACTAATATGTGGCCTTAGCCCTTTGTGTAATAACTATTTTGCTTTTGTTATATTTATATATTGTGATGCTAAATACGTTAGACCATCTCCAATACATTGAACTCATATAAATTTAAAGGATTGATACATATACATTTCACTTACTATACAATTTTACCCATTAAACTATACACTCCATTAAACTCTATAAAATTTAATGGATTGTCACATCATTTATCATTTTCTTTTTATTTATTGTTATTTTAAAAAAAATTATTTAGCATGAAATTAAAAATTAAAAACTACAATTAAAATTAACATTAATTTAAAATAAAAAAATAAAAAGTAACATATATATATATATATATATATATATATATATATATATATATATATATATATGTGTGTGTGTGTGTGTGTGAGGAGACAGAATATAGAGTTCAATGAGGATTGAACTCCCATTCCATTGAATCCTAGTCATTTTCCTACAATGGGGATTTTGAGTTTAATGAGATTAAACTCCTCATTAAACCCTCCATTGAACTCCTATTGGAGATGACCTTAATGACAGGGTACTTATTTTTCTTAACATCATCTCCAACTCATCTTTATTAAGAAAAAAATGAAGTTTAAGGGTGGGTTGGAGATACCCTAAATGATGGATGTGTATAATTGGGAGTTTTTAATCAAAATGGGGTTATTGCAAAAAATATTTACTAATCTAGTGTACTTTGAAAATTATTTACCAAAATAGTGTTTTTATTGATTTTAATTATTTTTCAATATTTCTTTTTGTTTTTCTATTTATTTAAAATATCGGCTTTATTAATTTTTTTTATTTAGGTTTTTTACTATATATATTTCTTTAAATATCAATTTTTTTTTGTTGCAGTTTTTTTAATATACATTTAACATTATATCTTATTTCAAGAGCTCGATTATATCTTTTTAGTTTTTAAAATAATCACCATTATAATAAAAATAATATACTTATCTATTTTTCTTTACATATTTCCATACAAAAATTAACCTTTTTGAACTAAAGCCTATATCTAATATTTGAAAGCATAACGATTCAAACTGTTTAATAAAAAATAATGTTCTAGAAAGCAATGTAAAGGAAAAGATTTTTTGATTATTCGCCTTCCAATCATCAAAAGTGTTGTGGAAAGGAAAAGTAAATTGATATTAAAAAAAAAGAGTAAAAAATAGAAGAAAAAAACCTGATATTTAAAAGAAATATGTAGTAAAAAAGTAAAAAAAAAATTGATATTTTAAATAATGCATGTTATGAATATGACATGTATGGTAAAAAAACTGATATTTAAAAAAATAAAATAAAAAAATAAATTGATATTCAAAATATATATATATATATATATATATATATATATATATATATATATATATATATATATATATATAAACTGAAATAAAAAAAAAGTAACACATGTATGTATAGTAAAAAACTAATATTTAAAAAATAAAATAAAAAAATAAATTGATATTCAAAAAATGTGTATATATATATATATATAGTAAATAAACTGAAATAAAAAAAATAAAAAAGCTGATATTTTAAATAAATAGAAAAACAATAAGAAATATTAAAAAATTAAAAAAATAAGAAAAATACTATTCTGGTAAATATTTTCAAAATATACTAGATTGGTAAATATTTTTTTCAATAACCCTTTTTTTTTAAAAAAAACTCGTATAGTATGATTTCCCATAGTGAACACAAAAGAGAACACGGGTTTTCTCATGGGAATTAAATGGCTTCTTCTACAAAAATTGTTTATCCATCAAGTTATTATAAGTATTACAATCTGTTACTTGAATCGTTTGACTTTATTCAAAGAAATAAATGGAATAATTGATTTCTATGAATTATTTAACATGTGGTATCTGAGCCTTAGTTGCTTTTAATCAATTTGAACCAATTTAGGATCAAAGAATTAATCCATATTCCCGTTATTAGAAAATCTTTTAAGCATGAAGTTTAAAAACAATATCATAAATTAAATCCATATTCCCGTTATTAGAAAATCATTTAAGTATGAAGTTTAAAAACAATATCATAAATTATGTTAGACCAAATGAAATTGATCACTAAAAAACAAATTAAAAAACTTATTTTCATATTATAATCACTTATATTCGGATTATATGTTTTTAATCCCTCAAATCCGCCAAAATCATTCCCCAATTTTGTTTTCATTAACTTCCTTGTTCAATGATGCCCATCAACGATGCCCTTGATTTAGTGTGCTTCAATCAGGATTGAGGATGGTGTGGGGGCATTTAGGGCGAAATACATTGGTGTTCCCCTTTTTTGTGTTAAGGACATCTCCAACCTCGCATCATATCCCATTTTTCACAGCATGTAGTGACAAAGAACATGGTTTGACATGCGGAATTAAAGCTTGCACAATTGAACAAGGTGATTTGGTTGTTTAAGAGATATATTGAATATATATGGTGTTACAAAAAAGATCTAGATCTAGACTACATAATTAACACACACTTACACACTCAATTCTACATCTCTCAAGCACACCTCTACAAGTGGTATGAACCCACTATTTATAGAGGTGTTTACATGTCTCTCTCTCACTCTAACTAATAAATGGGTCTAAAGGCTAAAGCACCACATGCAAGTGGGTTTTACAAAAGTCAAACATTTACAAAGTCATGAATGAATAACTTTGCACCCTAACATTCTCCCCCTGAAAGTTAGGAATGAATGACCCACTTCAAATCTTCCAAAGTCAAGCACTCGCGGTTCGAGCCCCAAAGGTGACACATGTCGAAACAAACTTCAATCTTCAATTCTTCCATGATTCTTCAATTTGGGCTCTAGATGTGAGACCATACAATCCGAGCAACAACGAATCATCAAGAGTATTCCAAACTCAAAATAATCACCCAAAGTTGCGCATAAAAACACACCCCAAAAATCTTCAATAATTCCAAACCCATTTCGAATACATCACTTCCGAACATCCAATTGCATCATCGCGTAGCTTCAAAACTCCAAGATTACTTCGGTCTTCAAATCCGTGTAATATGAAAAATTCAAGTTCAAATTTCCATATAAAACTTCTCCCCCTTTTTATAATCGAAATTTGATTATAAAACTCCAAGGAAAAAGAACGTGCTTTATTCGGAATTTTTCATGTTAAAACTCCCCCTTAACATGTGGCATAAACTTTGTGCTTCAATCCGGAAAACCCAAAAAATATTCAAATTTTATTGTCGTTCACGGATTGCCTTTGACAAAATTTCTCAAAAATGGGTAGAAATTGTCAATTTCAAAATTCTGCAGTGACCCGTTGCGCCAAAAACAACCAAATATGCGAAACACACTCCCATTTGCGAAACTGGGTAGAATGTGTAAATTCGCACAAACTGCATGGACCAGATTTGAAAATATTCCAATTTCTCAAATTTTTTACCCTAAATGCGAAACTGGGTAAAATTTGCCATCTTGCGAAGACTGCAGGGATGCAAAATGAAAATTCTGCATTTTTGTCATTTTATAACCCCATTTTGCGAAGTTGGACTATTTGTATTATTTCGTGAAAAGATCAGGGGCCAAATCCGAAACTATTTACTTTCTTCTTCCCCAATTCACTTATACAGTAAAAACTTCGCATCTTAATACTTCGCATGTGACTGAGACATGAATGCGAACCAGGTATAAGAAAACTTTGCATCTTTATCCCAAGTAACCAAATGCGAACTGAATTTCAACCTTAATCACCTTCGCATTTTTAAACCCAATCAACAAATGCGAACTCATGGTTTGATCTCATATGCGAACTTAATAACACTACTGTCCAATTCTTCAACCATGCGAAACCAATCTTAATCTTTAAATTGATTCACTAAATGCGAAGTGAATAACAAACTGAATCACATTCACATCCTTCTTATACCCATCGACAACATTCTTCCCTTTATACACAAATAATCAGATCTCGATTTCAAACTAACAAACCAAATGCGAATCCAAAATCAAGACCCAGATTCAGACTTTCGCAATCGATTTCATCAGCCTTCCCAAGTTCGTTCCTGTCCTTCAATTCACAACTCCAAAATCATCAACCTTGAGTTCATTATCAATTGTGCTTTCACTTTTGAAACATATACATGTACTACCAAATCACAGTGTCGACATCCATCTATCATGATTATCGACTCCAAGTGAGGAGCATCCTAAATCGAAATCAAGATTAATACCAATTGAACTTTCACATTCGATTCTCAGTAACATCGTTTGACTTCAATCAAAATCGAATGAACAGCGACTCAAATTCAAATCAATCCAAGAACACAACTTTGACTTTTTAATTTTGACCTTCAGTTCAATCGACTTCGTAAATCAAAATCAAAGTTTTCAATCCTGTTCTTTTTCTAATCCATAATCGACACCAAAACTTGTTGAATCACACTTCGATTTCAATCGATTCTTCAACTGTCGAGTTCCTAGTCTTCGCTTGAATAAAATCAATTTCATCATACAACAATCATTTGAAATTGATTTCTAAATTTAGATTAACAATAAAAGACAAATGATTATTAGCTATGAAGGAATGAAATCGGTAATCGAGAACAACTGATTAATGAACACGATGAATGAACAACAGATGAAGAACGAAAATAAACTTGGAACAAACGTACAACTCGGTAATGCAAGCATACAAACAG